ACGTGCTTCCGCAGAAGGCAGTGTTCCCGAACGGAGGTCGTGGAGACGAATTTCTTCGATTCCATCACCGACTTCTCGAGGTCGTTCTATTCCTCTTTTGGCATCCAGTTGAAGGGGAAATTCATGGGCATCGAGGGGTCGCTCAGCGCATCTATGCAGAAGAGCATGGCACAGCACGGGGAGAGCACCAAGGCCATCCTCGAGATGCGCATCTACAAGCGCGGTGGTTGCTACCAGATGCGCGGCGAGTGCGCGTTCGACCCTGGGAGCCTGAACCCGATGGTCCTGGACATCATCGAGTCTTTGCCCGTGGACAGCGACAACGCCACGGTGATGGCACTGTGGGACGAGCGCTTCATCCAGCGGTTCGGCACCCACGTCAGCTTGGGCTCTGAGCACGGCGCGCAGGTGAGGGCCATCGCGACCTCAAACTCGAACCAGGAGGGTATGGAGCACTTCCTCAAGAGCGCCCTGCAGGCTGACATCTCCCTGGACTGGGGCGAGCACGTCGGCGGTGAGCTCGCGATCAGCTCTGAGAACGAAGAGGTTGATGAGCGCAACCTTGCCGAGACATCGTACTCCGTCCGCTGCGCAGCCATTGGCGGCGACCCCACAGCCCCGTCGCCATGCATCAAGGTTGAGCAGGACAAGGTCTATACCGAGGCTCACGTGGTAGAGGACAGGCTCAAGGATTTCTTCCAGCCTGGAGACTTGGACGACGGCAGGTCTGTCTTCTCCATGTACTTGAAGGAGATGGCGGATATCCTCAACCACATGGGTTACACGAACCACTTCCACACGTTGACGAAGGCCAACGAGTACCACAGGTGCCGTTGGCCCTTCCATTGGGCCAAGACAGGGGAAGAGGAGCACGGCTGCAAGTGCAACCTGAGCTGCCAGAACGGCGGTGAGGTCGACGAGGAGAGCTGCACCTGCAAATGCCCTGCGGACGAGTTTCACGGCTGGACTGGCACAGACTGCAGCCAGCCGTTCGGAACGTGCCAGGTGGGCCCCAACTCCGGCAACCAGGGCGCTGCCAGGAAGTGCGCCGTGGACAACACGTGTGCGTCCCCGCTTTGGAAGGCTGCTTGCCACAGCACCGAAGTTTGCTGCCTCACCCACTTCGACGGGGCGTGCTGCCCGTTCGGGCACAGCTGCGATTGCAACGTGAACTCTTGCAGGTGCGTCCCTCCTCCCAGCGCCGCCGCACTCTTGCGAGTGAACGCCACCCGGTCCGCCGCAGCCTGAGGCCCTACAAGAATTCGAAGCGCGCAGAAGAGCCGTGCTCCAGGGATCGACAAGCATGCCAGGACCCAGAAGGGGCTTCGATGGCACGTGGGGGGAGGAAGGGGGAGGAGGAGAAGGCAGCAGCTTAGACTAGACCTGGCGAGCGACATAAGACGCGTCCGCAACATGGCTGGTCCACCTACAGACACAGGTGCTCCTCCTCCTTTGCTACGAAAAACATGACGACGCGGGACGAGGAGGAGGGTACGTATTTGACGTGTTTGGCTTGTTAGGGGCCTCTGGTGATTTCTGGAGACCCTAAACCGCATGTGAAAAGACATTTGCGTGATGCGGTTCCAGTGGGGGTGTGCGCATGCGCTTGCCGCGTCCATCTCGGCACACCCCTCACACGCTTCGTGGCCATTTGGGTGGCTCCAACTACGTTCCCAGCGGATGCGTTCACATTCAGATGCCGAGTCCAAATCGGGACAGCCCTCAAGGGCTTCGTGCCCTATTCGGGGCTCCAACCTCGGCCCCAGTAGAAGGCCGAATCCGTTCATTTGCCCTTGGATCGAGTGCCCGATCCCTTTGTCGAAGTTTGGCTCGGCGTCTGGCTGAGGTGTGCTCCTCTGGGATTGGCGCAGGTTTCTTAGCTGCTTGCTCTCGTAGACAAAGGCCCGCTGTATGAGCCGCACCGCAGCAAGTCAATCTTGGCTTGCAGCCGTCCTCTTAATGTCACCATACGCTGCGCTGCGTGTGTGGGGGGGGGGCAGGAAAAGTGATACGCGGAATGATGTTTGGATTCGTTGGGGCCCTGAGAGCGGGAATGGCCGTCAGAGGAGAACACGCACGCACATATTCCAATATGTCGGTTTCGGGAGGTATGCCCTCAATAAACAGATGGCCAGCCATGCGGGCCCGTGCTCGGGCAGTCTTGGGACCTTCTCTAGCCCTCTTGGATTCTCGCAGGTCTCTCCTGGGCCCTATCAGGACAAGATTGGCGTCCCTTGGGGTGGTCTAGTTGCCGTGGTGAAAGGTATTGGGGTTTGCTGTATGGGTGGGAGGGTATTGGGGCTGTCTTGGGCCGTCTTGGGGCAGCCTTGGGGGCCAGCGGGGGGCTTCTGGGGCCTTCTTGGGGGCGCCCTGGGCCGTCCGCAGGTCTCTTGCTGGAGGCCTCGTGGAGGCCTCTGGCGCCCACGATGGAGCCACGTGAAGCCAACAAGTCAAGAATGCCACAGAAAAGAGAGAAACACTGCAGGAGAAAGGCGTCCTGATGACCTGTGAATCTCCTCCCCCTCCTCCTCCTCCCCCTCCTCCTCCTCCTCCTCCTCCTCCTCCTCCTCCTCCTCCTCCTCCTCCTCCTCTGGGACTCCTCCTGGGGCCACCTTTGGGACCTGGTGGGCCATCCTCGGCGCGTCGGGGCCCGTCGAGAGGCGGCCCCGGGCCTTGTAGGCCCCACGGAGGAGCCACCGCGCGGCCCGAAGAGAGAGCCCGGTGGGCGAGGGGCGATCCTGGCGGGCGTTGCCAAAGGGGTGCTCTTCTCGGGGGCGGAAAAGAGGGGGGTGATGACTAGGGGGGGGTGGATATCATGGCGGGGGCCATGATATCTCCCCATATTTCATGGCGCCTCTTCTTATTTCATTATGTCCCTGGCCCCCCCGCTGGGCCGCGCACATGCCGCCGGTCATGATTTGCACACCCCCCTCTTGGACGCCCCCCTCTTTGCCGCTCCCGAAGAGGGGTGCTCTTCGGGTGCTGCTAGAAGTGCCCCTGGCCCAAGGTACCCCCAGGATTTCCACGGAGGCCCCCACGGCTTCCAGAGCACCCCTTCACGAGGCCCAGGGGTCCCCATGGGGCTCCAAGATGGAGGGAAACGCTGGGGGCACCTTGGGCCAGGGGCACGTCTAGCAACACCCGATGCTTGGGCGTCGCGCAAGGGGGGGGGCGACCAAGGGGGGGGGGGGGGGCAGAGCAAAGGGCCCTCCAGGGCCATCAAAGGGGCCCTCCAGGGCCCTGAAGGGGGCCTCTAGATGCATCGACGATGCGGCGAGATCTTCCGACCCCATCTGCTCCGACCTCATCTGGGATGCATCCAGTGAATGAGAAAGGAGTCCCGAGGGAAACGGGGTCCAGACCCAGAGCTTTCCCCAGGACCAGTTCTTCATCCTCTGCCGTTTTTTCTTGCGGTCGTTCACGCCTGCGGAGGGCCCCAGAGGGCGAACAAAAATTCCAGGACCCTCTCATCCAAGACCCTGTTTCGAAGGCTCCCGGTTCCTCCTCTGCGGCCGCCCTCCTCTTGTCTTTGTCCCAGTGTGCCCATCGTCCGGCGCGGCGCGTCGGCGATTTGCACGCGTCAGCGCCCGCTCCGCGAGGTGTCGTGCCTGCCCAGGTCCCCGACGGTGGGGGCATTGGCTAGGGAATGTGCCCAGGAGGCCTCAGACCCTGCAGGGTTCCTTCTCTGACGAGGGTGGCGGTGATATCCACGGCCGAGCCACGATTGCAGTTGCACCAGCTTCCAGGCCCCGGATTCCTTACCCAAGGGTTCCTGCTCCAATGCCCTCACTGCCTCACCGTATGATACGGTATCTATTGCGAGTTGTGGTACTTGCCCAGGTGCCCTGTGAGTTGTGCTCTATGGCACACGCGCGATGATGCTTCAACTTGTGCGAGCCTTGGTTATTTGAAGAAATTGTCGGAGCTCCGCGCGGAGTTCTTGGAACGGCGCTGGCCCCACCTAGCGGCGCCTCTGGCGCCCCCCTTCGTGCTCCGCGCGCCGGGGAGAGGGGTCCACCGCAGATCCAAACTATCCACGCGGACCTCCGAAAGCTCGTGTTAATGCAATTGTTGTTTCTCAAGTTATTGCATTGGTGCCCTTTGAGTGGTGCCATGGCCAGCGCCGTCTGATGCGCTGACTGTTGCGGCTTCTCGTCATTGCCCTGGTGCCGCATGGGTGACGCCTTATGGCTTGCGTTATGTTATGTTTCTATAGTTGCGGCTCCTCGTTTTTGCATAGGTACCTGATGGGTGGTGCACAGCACATATTGCACCACACTTATTGCACATCGGAAATATTAGAGCTTCCTGTATAGGGTCCACGCTGGCAATCACGTTGATGACAAAGCCAGGCACGCTCCCCCCACACCGTGTTTTTGTTCACGACGCCCTGTCATTGTTCTTGTGCCTTTTGTGTTCGTATGCTGTTGCCTCTCTTACTTCCCTCATTCCATCCTTCGATCCTCTTCTACTCTTGTTATTTCCTGTCGTGCGCGCTTGACTGCTTGTTGGTGGTCAGTGTCCCCCAGAGCTCTCGACCCAATTCCTCAGACTTGCATCTCTTCGCGGGCCAAGCTTTGCGTGTCCCTTGGAAATAGATTCCCGGGCGCCTCAACAACAAGATCATACCAGTCGTGTGTTTTCAAGACGTCTGGAGCCTACGGGACCAACGGATGCCTCTAGGGAACCTCAAGAGAGAGGGTCTCGTCCAGAGGCTCTGTCCCCTAAGGGCGCCTGAGGCTCAACGTCGGCCCCTCTCCGAAACCACCGCCCCCTCACCGTCCTCCCATTCGCTGAGCAGGCAGGGGGTGGAGGGAGGATGAGGGATGAGGAGGACGCATGAGTGGGCACCGTGGGTTCGCGCCGCCTTGTCTCGGCGGCGACCCCAGTGTGGGCGCTCAGGGTCGGAACGACCCACGCGGTGTCAGAAACCGACGTTGGCGCCATCGCAACGTCGACCTGCCGTGGGAGGAGGCAGGAGCGATGAGCTGGGAGGGGAGGACCTCTCCGCGGTGCCAGCAGCAACACGGGTCGAGCTGGACGACGTGGGTAAAGACATCCAGGGCTTGAAGGACAGTTTGATGCGCATCGCCAGGAGGACTGCAATTTTAACCTGCTTGGCACGGGGACGGAAAGCGCATTTGTTGTCAGAACGCAATAGATCGCTGGCCTGTCCGTTCCGCCCCTCGATCTTCCCGTCCAGAAGGTCGCTTGGGGTAGCCTGGTGGCATCTCGGCGCGGTCCTTGGTTATGTCAAGGCCGCAGGAGGCCTCTTGGGAGGAAACTAATGTTTTTTTTGTTACCGCAGGTGAGGCGAATGAAACCAATGGTATATGAATGAGAGGCGTGTTGGATACCTATTGGAGTATCCTGGAAGGCTCCTTCTCCTCGTCCTCCTCGTTTCCTCCTTCTGCTGCTGCTTTTCCTCGTCCTCCTTCTCCTCCTCCTCCTCCTCCTCAACCTTCTGCTCTTCCTCCTCTTCCTCCTCCCCTTCCTCCTCCTCCTGCTATCCTCCTCCTCATCCTCCTCCATCCCTTGTGCTTATAAATAAGTTGTCCCTGTCGCACCCCAGAACCAGTTTTTAGGGCGGGCCGGGCGTTTCGCCTGAAACTTCCTCACGCTTTATGCTTCTGAAGCTTCAAAATTGGCAACAGCTTCACAGATGGAGGGCGGGTGGTTTTCAAAGTGTGGCTCTCGCCTTAGCGCGGCGAACCGTTTTTGTTTATGCCAGAGCTTCACGCATTGAGGGCGGGTGGTTTTCAAAATGTTGCTCTCGCTTTAGCGCGGCGCACACTTATGTTTTATGCAAGAGTTTCACTGATTAAGGGCGGGTTGTTTTCAACATGTGGCTCTCGCTGTAGCGCGGCGCATATTCGTTTTTGAAATTTGCAAAAGTTTCACATATTGAGGGCGAGTGATTTTCAACATGTGGTTCTCGTCGTAGCGCGGCGCACATTCACTTTAAGCATGTGCATGAGCCTGCCGGATTGAGAGCTGATCCTTTTCAACATGTGGCTCTCGCCTTAGCGCCGCGCGCATTCGCTTACAACATGTTCAAGAGCTTCACGGGTTCCCATCATCAACGTACCAGAAATTGCGTGCTGGAAGGATTCAGGATTATGTGGGTGAAACAGTTACAATGGTTCTCTGTGCTGAAGTCCCAGGAATGGCGTCTCTTGGGTTTACACTGGTCCTCCTCCTCCTCCTCCTCCTCCTCCGGCTCCTTTTCCTTCCCCGCCTTCTCCTCCTTCTCTTCCTCCTCCTCCTCCGTCGTTTCTTCCTCCTCATCCTTCTCCTCCTCCTCCTCCTCCTCCTCCTGCTCCTCCTCCTCAACCGCTTCCCACCTCTCCTCCTTCTCCTCCTCCTCCTTTTCCTCCTTCTCCTCCTCCTCCTCCTCCTCCGCGTTCTCCTCCTCCTCCTCCACCTCCTCCTCTTCCTCCTCCTCCTCCTCCTCATCGTCCTCCTCCTCCTCCTGCTCACAATCCTCCTTCTCCTCGTTTTTCCTCCTGCTCCTCAGACTGGCGAGCAAGCGCCCTAGCATGTACCTCAGTGTGATAAGCCAAGTCGTACGAGTGTGTGAAACCCGACCTGGAGACCCCATCTCGTCTTTTAGATTTTAGGCACATGCTGTGGGAACAAGAACGGCAAGGTGCGTTGTTGCAACAGCGGGCGCGTGGGCAGATCGCTCGCATGCCCTCAGCTGTATAACAAGAAAGCCAGACAGTATGCAAGTATCCTCTTCCACCTCGACCTGTAACATCCACCTCCCGACAAGTACTGCCATCGGGACGCAAGAGTCGAACATAGAGAAGCAAATCTAGGCTTGGCACGGGTGTAGTCTTAGCCCTGTAAAAAGACTGTGCCGTTTTTGTGGGGGCTATATATGCACGGGTGCTGTAAGAAACGTGTCGCTAAGGCACTAAAGGGTTGAGGTTGTCGTGATGCAGGCCAGTCATCATCCCCAAAGGATGTTGCCTCAACACTAGGAAAGAACTGTGCCGCTTGTGTTGGGTCAGTCTATGCACTGATGCTTGGAACGAAGAAAAGAATAATAAAAACGTGGCGTCTCGAAGCGAAAGGTGAAAGACTGGCGTAGGGTCGTCCTGGCTTCTGTATGTCCGTATTGACAGAAAGCAAGTTGGCTGCAAATGTGGGATGGTGTCGAAGTGCAGGTTCATCGATGAGAGAGTCGAAGATCTGCCGCAATAGGCCGGCATCACGTCAATTAGAAAGTTGTGTGTAGCATTTCTTGGGTTGTGGCCCAGGGCTTGTTGGGTTTACCCCTAACAACTTCGGTCTCAGGACCCTCGCGTTGTTTGCCATGCCCTTTCCGGGATTAGCATGAGCCCTTGTAGTCCAAGCGCCTTCGTTGGTTGCAGTTCTCGGGTTGCTGCCCAGGGTGTTGCTGGTGAGCCCCAAAACCAGATTGTCCTCCGCAGCCCAGCCCCGATGACCGCCCCCACCAATCCCAGTCCAGTATGACAGTACGCGGCCGACTGCAATGTGAGAAGAAGAGAAATGTGAAGAAGCCCAGGAGTGGATGGATGCACCTCTCGATATGCGCAGAAAAACATCGCAGGCTGTGTCGATAGAGCTTGCGGTGTGCAACCTGCAGCAAACAAATACAAGGCGCACTCTAGATCCGCGGGCGACTGAGGCTCGCAGCAGGTCGTGGGCTGGCCTGCCATGCTGGCCTGTGAGATTCGAACTGCACGGAAGGGTAATCGATTGTGACGTTCGGACTGTACAACAAGTCATAGCCTGTGTAGATACAGGCTTGCAGAGCGCAGCCAGGCGCACAAAGTAGCAAGGCGCACGCTAGCTTTGTGAGCGCCTGAGGCTTGCAGAACGCGCCAGGCTGGCCTGTCAGGCTGGCCTGTCAGGCTAGCCTGCTGGGTTCGAAAAGTATGCGAAGAACGATTGTGGGAGCTTCTCTTGATGCACAGAAATTCACAGCCTGTCTAGATGCAGACTTGCCGACATGCAGGCGCTGCAGAGAAAAAAGAAACGGACACCGTGGTCTGGCAATCGTTGGGTTGCGACCCGAGGTTTTTCGGTTGACCCCAAAACAATGAAATCGGGGAGGGATGGACCACCAGCGTGCCAAGAGAGCGAGAGGGCGCAAGCAGCAACAGCGCAATGTGGGACGGAGGAAGGGTAGCGGCCACGGTGTTGGGCTATCTGGTCTGAGAAACGCACCAACGAATTATGATGACCCAAAAGAGGTATCAGTTGATGTTGCTCTGCTATAGTTGGTGAGCTCCAGGCACGCGCAGTGGAAGTTATGGCATGCTGCTATCGCTGCGTGCTCACACCGCTCCGTGGCCAGCACCTTCAAAGCCCATCGGCGTGGGCTTTGGCGGCGCCTTGTATAGTCGTGCCATCTGCTTGGGCGGCGGCCCCTTGCACGGTGCCCCCGTTTGTGGCGGGGGGCGTCGCGGAGGCTGTTGAGGAAGTGCTCGTAGCGCGTCTGGTATGAGCGGAGCTTGCCGATGTCGTTGTCGGTTTCGGTTCGTGTTCGGCCCCCCCCCCGCGATGTTAAGACTGTTGTTGAAAGGCCTGCGTATTCTTCTTCATCACTCCTCGTCCTCGTCGTCCTCCTTCTCGTCCTCGTCCTCTCTTCCTCGTCGTCCTCGTCGTCGTCCTCGCCGTTGTATGGGATCCAACTTGAAACCAGCACAACAGGAACCCGTAGGAACGCACCACAAAAGGATTCCATGGAAAAGCTTCTCAACATAATCTCTTGGGAAAGTACCGCAGAGGGAGGGTTCAGCGACGCAGGTACGACCCCCTCCCCTGACCTCCTCCCTGAGGCTCCTCTCCGTCCTCCTCCTCCTCCTCCCACTCCTCCTCCCCCACCCCCCCCTTCCTACGGAATGCAAAAACTTTAAGGAAGCCATGGGGGGGGGGGGGGCAACAAAAACCAAACAAGAAACAAAAACGGAAGTTCTGGAGGCGAAAATGATTAGCCAACCCATTGAAAAAAGAAGAACCAATCCAGGGAACACCCGCCCGAAGAGACACGTCCAAAGGGAATCCCCGCACTCTCTGTGGAATGCTTGGTGTTTTGGTGTTTTGCTCCCAGCCATCATGTGGTGTTGGGCCCTCGTTTTGAACAAACGGTCACCGCGTTCCTCCTCTCCTCCTTCTCCCCCTCCTCCCCTCCCTCCTCCTTCTTCCATGCGTTTCACACACCCAGCACAGCGCTTCGTGGCCCCATCGGGAGTTCCACCAAAGCCCCCAGTGGGACCGCCCGCATGCGTCCGCAACCACCCAGCACAGCCCTTGCTCCCTGCGTTCCACCCACCCAGCACAGCGTTTCGTGGCTCCATCGGGAGCCCCACGGAATGTCCCAGTGGAACCGCCCGCATGCGTCCGCCACCACCCAACACGGCACTTGCTCCCTGCGTTTCACCCACCCAGTACAGCGTTTCGTGGCCCCATAGGGAACCCCACGGAATGTCACAGTGGAACCGCCCGCATGCGCCCGCCACCGCCCAACACGGCATTTGCTCCCTGCGTTTCGCCCACCCAGTACAGCGCTTCGTGGCCCCATGGGGAACTCCACCGCCCGTGTGCGTCCGCCACCACCTAGCACGGCCCTTGCTCCCTCCGTTTCGCCCACCCAAGACAGCGCTCCGTGGCCCCATAGGGAGCCCCACTGAAGGTCCCAGTGGCGCCGCCCGCATGCGCCCGCCACCACCCAGTACAGCCATTGCTCCTTTCGTTTTACCCACCCAGTACAGCGCTTCGTGGCCCCATAAGGGGGCTCCACCGAAGGTCCCAGTGGCACCGCCCGCATGCGTCCGCCACCACCCAGTACAGCCCTTGCCCCCCTGCGTTTCACCCACCCAAAACAGCGCTTCGTGCCCCCTAAGGGGCCCCACCGAAGGTCACAGTGGCACCGCCCGCATGCGTCCGCCACCACCCAACACGGCCCTTGCTCCCTGCGTTTCACCCACCCAAGACAGCGCTCCGTGGCCCCATAGGGAGCCCCACGGAATGTCCCAGTGGAACCGCCCGCATGCGCCCGCCACCACCCAGTACAGCCATTGCTCCCTGCGTTTCACCCACCCAGTACAGCGTTGCGTGGCCCCA